AATGATTTAGAAGAAAAAATACTTTTTTAAAATCTGAATTTATATCACAGGAGTTGGAGCCAATCCCAGCTGACGTCAGAGAAGAGGGGCCCCTCCCCCGTTCACCTAACTCCAGATATTCGTCTGAACGTAGGGGCTGTATGTGAGAACGCTAAAGTCAGTTGCTCTGGATGTTGCGTTGATGAAGTTTCCGACACGCAAAACTTGAAAAACAAAAAGAAAACATCTATATGCGAAGACGTCAACTTGGAAAGACGACGAGATTTAAGAGCTTTCGGTGATTTCGCCTGCGTTGATGTGCCGTGAACGAAAAACATGTGATTTCTGTATTGGAATTGAAACGTCGCCCTTCGTGTGAACGCTTCAGACATTTTCCTTCTCCTGCTAAGTTCTTCGTATGTAAAAGACAAACTCCAGAGAAAGTCTGCGCCCTATTGTTCGTGCATTTGTCCGGAGTTTGCAGATGAACCTGAGCTGCATGTGTCTGGATGTGGGAGGAAACCAGAAGAATATGCAAACCGCACAAAGAGAGAGAATCCAGATGAACCGACTGCTGCGAAGCAACGATTCAATCCACTGTTATCACGGTGCCGCCCAGTGTCAGGATGAGAACCGGAAAGAATCAATGGAAATTGATCCTATTGTGAGTTATATTCACACGTGACAGAATTCCAGGACCAACGCATGCATGGAGAGATGTGGGTCAGAACTCTGTCTCTCTCTGCACTCTTACCTTTGGTGGTCTCACTCTCTCTCACCAGGAAAGTCCCTCTCCTGTTCTCTAAGCTCAGCAGCAGACGCTCCGAGTCGCGGCGGGTGATTTTGCCAAAGTACCACCTGGTGATGTCGAGAGAAAAAACATGGGACACGCGGGAAACAGGATGGTGAAGGTAAGAAGATGAACGTGGGAAAGAGGGGGGGGGAGAGAAGAAGAAGAAGAAGCGACGAAGCGAGGGTGAGCTGGTAAAATTCAGTCTGAAGCCGATTCACATGCAGTTTATAAAAAAAAAAACGCCTGCAGATCAGCAGCTGCTTACCTGGACTCGAGAGCGAGTCTGAGATGACTGGGGCAGCAGGAGGACAAAGTGAGAAATGAACGTGTGATAAAAACCGTTAGTGTGTGAGTTTGAAAGCAGTCGAGCGTGTAAAGATCAGCAGTGCAGAAGGAGAACGAAGTAAACGCAGTACAATCATTTCAGGGAGTACTTCAGCTTTCTGGAAAATACTGTGCAATACTTTGCTTTCTTGCTGAAACTTGGACGGTAAATATGAAGCTACAGGAGTTTGATATGTTAGTTTAGCATGTATGTATGTATGACCGGACACTAGGGGGCGCTGTAAGGGCAGCTGCATGGATTTCAATCTCACATTGTTTTCAGCAAATAAATCTTTAATACCATTAATACAAATATTATAATTATAAGATAAAGAGTATTTGCTTTTGATTTTGTTGTTTTCCTTTTTTATTATCATGAGAAGCTCTGTTAGCTTTTCAGGATTCACAGCTAAAAACTTTCAATGCTTTTCTTTTAAACTGCCGTTTCAATAATAATACACCGAATCTAAAATCTGAAAAACTGGGCCCAGAATGAAACAGCTTTAAAATGTGTGGTCGGTACAGGACGTCTCAGTCGGCAGCGACTTCCAGGAGTCGTGTCATCGCAGTGAGGTGGACAGACATCCAGCTGAGACTCGAGTAAGCTACTGTTTCAAGACAAATACGAGTCCTGCGCCTAATCCCGCCCCCTAAAGCCAAACATTGTGGTTTGTTCTTCAGGTTTGTGTTGATTAAAACAAATAAGATATGATGTGTTTATCAGTGAGCTTCAGGGAATCTTTGTCTTCTCCTGTTTCATTTCTTTAAGCTGAGCCCACGTCCCTCTGGTGATAGTTCTCTATTCAAACTGATGTGGAGCCAAAACAGTGTGGATGTGGTCCAAACTCTCAGCAAGGAAGCATATGAGCACACTTCCCAAAAATTCCAATGTGTTCCTTTCAACAGAATTTCAAATTCAGACAGTGACAAAAAGCAAATTCTCAAGAATCCAACATTTGAGCGTTAATTCTGTCGTGCACTTGGTGAAGAAACAGAAACAGAAGAAACAGTCAGGAAGAAATAAATGAAGGGCTTTACTCTTCTGCCTGGATGGAGTCGGATGGAGCCACGTAATTGCTGGGGATGTAACCGCTCTCTCCAGTGGTCAGGGAGCGCGCCAGCCACCAGTCGCCTTCTCTGCAACGATGAGACGACAACACACAGCTTCACCGAGGCTCGTCGCGCACACCAAACACAAATTAACACAGCGCTCACCACTTTCTCAGGGCCGGTGTTTATCAAGTGTCTCACAGCGAGTGATGGAAAGCACCACCGCCCGCCCGCAATAACTACGATAACTCAAACAAGAGTCGTGCAACCGGCTCCTGGAGAAGCTTGATAAACATGAGCCCAAGTGTCTCTACAGTTTAAAAACATAAATTGGAAGACACACATTCATGTGGGTATGAAAACAGGGAGGGTGCTTGTATCCGAGGCTTTATCGACAGGGGGGGTGGGGGGCTGATGCAGCTTTGCAGCACTTGGAGTTTACTTAGTAAAGTTAGGATTTGTTTTTACGTGAATTGACCTGAATCGATTATAGTGCTGCAGGGCTTCAAGCCAGCCCCCCCCCCCTCTCCACTGCACTATGGGATAATGGTGCAGGGGCGGAGTTATGGTGGATTTGTGCCTCTCTCTCTCTCTCTCTCTCTCTCTCTCTCTAGTGAAGTGGAATTACAGTGCACAGGTAAGTGCTTCAGGTGACACAGACACACACACACACACACAGACACACACAAGCAGCACGTTCACATAGAGGAGCTTCACAAACCTGCAGTTCACCTTCCTCCTGAAATAAACGGTTTGTGACAGAGAAATGGAAAAAGAGGAAGAGGATGAGAGGGAAGTGGTGAAAAAGAAGGTGGTTAATACAGAGAGCAGGTTGTGAGCAGTGACACAACAGCACACAGAGTAAACACAATTCAACTAACGACTGTGTCTGATTATTCATTTCCAAGTTTTACCTCTAATCGCAGTGGAAACCTTTTTTTTTCATCACGTACGTTTATTCAACACTTCAGGCTTCAGGGGAATAGAATTTATAATAAACACATTTCAAATCAAGCTTATGTAAAAAAAAACTGAGGCTTTAAACTACAAACCAGCACAAAAATGAGAATCACCCACGAAAACCACACGTTGCATTTTAGAACGAAACTTCTCTGCGGTGTCTCCTGGGAAATGAGAACTTAATTCAAGTTCCTTATATTAAGTTGTATTTGTGATTTCTTTTTAATTATAGTTGTTTGTGATAAAGTGTTTTTAAACTGTGAAATCTAAAGCGATGAAAATGACATCTTAACAATAACTTTTTTAATATATATGAAAAATATACCAGCTGATATTTCAGAATCTAACATTTTAACCACAGGCAGCAGTTTGTTAGACTTTTCTAAACATGGGATTTTTCCACTTTGTAGGATTGGACACTAGATGGCGCTTTGAAGGGTTTTAGCTTTTCAATTTATAAATATTTTTAAATATCTATATACATATTTTTTTTAAGGAATAAATCAGAGAGAAATATTTGGACTCTCTGTCTGTAATGGCCCCCAAACTGTATATGGGTCGGGCTCTACGGTGACGGAACAACAATGAGGTGCAGGAGACACGATATTATCATAACAAAAGCCAATCAGGTCACTGCGCATGCTACATTCATAGGCTTAATTGGACCAATCAGAACTGTGATAACTCGTTAACTAATCAGAGCTGTTTCCTGGATTCTGGGTTCACTTGACCCAATAATGATCCGGGTCTTGGGCCTGAGGGGCCAGATGCAGCGATAATCCACTATTGTTCTCCGCTGCCTTCTAGGTCAGTAGTTTGTTAGTGGGCGAGCAGCTCTCGGGGTGCAGCGCCACAGTGTACGCTTCACTGCACCCCCCCATTGATTCATAGAGGAAGCCCCCCCCCCATTTTGAAAACAAGCATATCTGGGTTTGATTTGTATGACGAGAGACGGTCGTCCTGCGGCGAACTGGACTTGCTGAGGTGAGACGGAGCAGTGAGACGGAAACTGTCTCAGAGAAGCTTTTTCGTGAATGAAGCAGGAAAATAGAGAAAATCAAGCTTTGCTGAGCCGCGACTGTTCAGGCAGCAGAGCGGATCAGACAACGGGACAAACAGTGTGTGGTGGGATGGAACACATTACTTCATTACTTAAAGTACATTTCTTATCCATCTGTACTTTACTTTATTTCCCTGGTACCTTATACTCCACGACATATATCTGCAAATATCTGTACTTTCTACTGCACTACATCTTTTAAAAAGCATTGAGTCACATTTTTCATATTTCTTTTTAAGTGATCCAATCAGAGCGAGCAGGTGACATTAGACCCTGCCCCCTGCAGTCGCAGTATCTCAGGTACTCAACAAGTACTAAAGGGACGTGTGAAGGTTTTCCAGTATTTTCCTTACGTGTTGTTGACGATCTGGAGACGTTCGCCCTTCCTGAACGACAGATCTGAGGCCGTTCGAGACTCGTAGTCATACAACGCCACGAAGGTCGTCACGCCCCCTGGAGGAAGGAGAAGGAATCAAAGAACTGCGGACCACAGGTGCAGGGCGTACAGGTACAACATCAAATGAAGCGAACCTGCCAGGGTGATTCTGTTTGGAGCGGTGACGCTGTTATTGTCCACTCCTCCAAACAGGGCCAGCTCTGCAGGATTGGCCAGAGACGGATTGCCACTGAGACCTCCGTCCATGGTAGGGCTTCGGTTGGGTAACGGGGACGGATGATAAGAGTTGAGGTGGCGGCCACCAGCCCCTCCTCCAGAGCTGAGGTTGTCATCGAGGCTGCGGCTCCGCGGGCCTGAATCCTTGGGCTTACTCTTGGATCCCCCCATGGCCAAAGCCTGTGGAATCACGGACAGACGCAAAAAAAGAAGACATATTCAATAAATGACATCATTGACATAAAATAGACTTGTTTTCTTATGTCATTTTATTAGAATACATTCTCTGGAAAAAATTCCTCAGAGCGCCACATGCCAGATGCAGAAACCAGAGACGGGCTGGAGACCGAGGCTCTAAATCCACCGAGGCTCACAGTTATGTCGACCGCATGAAGCCAAACGAGCCCAAAGACCGTGGAGCAGCTGCCGCTCTTTGGTTTCAACACAAACATGAGATCACGCTGCCACCAGCAGAGCACACACACACACACACACACACACACAGAGACACACACGCCTGCATGCACATGTGTCAGACATGGATGCACAGGCAGAGAAATGTCTCAGCAGTCTGCGGTGTCATCGTCGTTCTTTTGGCTTTATTCATACCATCATTTAAAGATGAGCTAACTGCAGTGAAGCTCTAAATCAAACCCAGTTCACAACCAATGTCCCTTCGGTCACATGCGGGAAGTAAACACTGGCATTTATCCAACGGTCCAAACTTCTTCAAATGTGATATTCGGAAAATAACAAATAATCTATTTAAAGCTGACTTTAGCTGCTTGTTTTGGCCACATGGGGGCGATGGATCAGGTTGCTGTGATGGATGCGTGTGGAAACATTTGCTAAACAGGAAAGGCGCTCGGAGAACACAAACCTCCTCCCAGTGTCGCTGAGGATCCGCAATAGATTAATTGATCCTGGATGTCATTAATATCAGTCTCCTCAACAGGCCTGATTTGTTTTCATTATTTTTCTGAGAAATAAACGTGACTGAAAGAAACGAGTTGATCCGCCCCCTGCTCCAGACTCATATCAAAATCTAACAAAACCTTCACTGACTGATACAAAATCCTTCTAACAAGTTCCCTCGTAATCCGTCAAGTCGTTAAACTTGTTAAATAACAAACAAAATAAACGCAGATGAAAAAAACAACCTCTTGGGGCGTCGCTAACTAAAGATTCAACCTTACAGCACAGCTTCACGGTAATTTTAAAACTCACAGTGGCTTCAATGGTAAGAAATAATCAATGGATTAATTGATAATGAATCATTAATTTGGCAGCGACTGCTTCTTCTAAGATCCTCGTGGAGCAATTAACTGCGAGGCCTGAGGAGAACAGAGCGAGGTGAAGAGGGCAGCTTTGGGTTGTTGGGGCTTTTCTCTGTGCCTCTTCACTTCTGGAGCTTCTCAGCCTGCTCAGGCTCACGAAGTAGCTCTAATCACAGCTTACTGCAGCGGAATCATTACACTAAGCTGAGGATAATTTAGGGAGTCCAGCCCGTGCTATCATCAGGGATAGATGTAGCCACAGGGGGTCCAAAAGGAAATGCTAATTTGCTGAAAACAGTGAGGTGGGGCGGCCTGGGAGCCTCCGTGATGAGCAGATAAGAGTCGGAGTGGATGTGGGTGAGTGTCGAGCTGCAGCGAGCCCAGTCTCACTCACAAGAGTCTAATCCTAAATAAGAGAGGAGCTACAATACCCAGGCCAGCAGGCGTGCTTACAGTCAACGTGGTGACATATGGTGGAAAATGTGTGGCACGAGGCGGAGCACACTTTGCAAACCGCACAGGGGGAAATTAGTGGCGCTGTCACTGGTTCTTGTCATTTTGGATAATGCCTCAGTTCTTCCCCCGATGCACAATGAACGAGAGAGTCTGGGGGAGGAGGGGGAGGAAGTGAAGAGGGGTCATTGGGGACGCACTGTCCATATTTCCCCTCGGGGCGTGTCTGCATAAAGGGGGTTGCATCCCAGTCAGGGCACCAGTGCAGGCAGGTTAACACAAAGATGACGGGAGGCCTCGGGGGAGTCGCCCTCGACAGACTCTCTCTCATCTCCAGTCGTCGCTGCTGTGAAAGCTTTTCCCCGTAATCCACACAGATAAAACCTCACTGAAGAGGAGTTGCCTCACTGAGATAACAGATTAAATGACACATGAGGTGGACGGAACACTTCGTAAATAATGTTGTGCTGTAAATACTGTAAAACCTGTTTGTGTGGCACAGCGTTTGATATGATGAACAAATGAATTACACCTCATTTGATGGAGTGATGGTGCGTTTTGTGCCATTCGGGCCATATTCACCATTCACCACAGATTCCACCTTGCCTAGCATGTTTGCCACAAATGGCCCACATTTGCTTTGGGATATTTGGGACACATTTACTCCTTCACAAGTGGGCCACTGTCGGCTCACATCAATTTAGCGCGAGCCACAAGAGGGCCGGCTGAAGTAGCCCACATCTGGATCGGTCCTGATACTCAAACTCAGAGTTTGCACCCAGACACATATGCTGAAAACTGCCGGAAAGAGAAAACAAGAGCCGAGTCAACATGAAACAGACTCTGGCTTTTCTTCACACTCACTTTCCAACAAAGCCATCTTTTGTCAGCTCCCAGCGGGCGCCACAAACAAGACACGAGAAGTGGCCTGTGGCTTGCAGGCTGCCAGATCCTTGCGTGCTTTAGCTCTAACAGCCAGTGGGAAATATGGAAATCAGAAGCCAAACAATGTCATGCATTGCAGGAGTGTAAGAGGAATCATGTCTGCATGTGTGTGTGTGTGTGTGTGTGTGTGTTTGTGAAACTAGTGATAATGAGAGCATGATTCTGGCCCAGTAGCACTGAGGTACTGTAACGAGCGTCTGCAGTGGGAGAGGGAGCGCTGCATGAAAATCCCTCTGGCGAGGCGGGGGTGTGGCTGGGTAGGTGGGTGGGGGATTTGCTTAATTATGCATAAGATCTAGCAATGAATTCCAAATCCTTTAAGTCTCCTGGGCTTTTGGTGAATGGGAATAGTGTTTTAATATTGCTGCCGGGTTGTTTCCTCACCCCACAGGATGCTGCGTGTCCCCGCGTTTCCTGCTTTCTTCATTTAACGTGAAAAGAAAACAATTACAATCCCTGAATAGAAATTAACAGAAAGGAGCCGGTGTCGTTCGCTCTTTTCCCGGGGCAGGATCACGACACTGGTCCATTTCCACCAACAGCGCTCGGGTTTGTAATGAACTCTGTGCTCCGGCTCATTTAAAGGAAAAAAAAGAAAAAAATTAAAATTAAAAAATCGTTTCATCTTTTGGGATCACGGATCAAACAGCCGTGAACATCAAAACCGAACAAGCTGGCTTCAGATGTTCTGTGTGCAGTGTTAATGAGACGTTTCCCCGAACGGAGCTGAAGCAAACCCAAAGTAACAGTGAGGGAGACGGTGAGGCTCAGCTATGCGAGCAGGCGAGTTACGACTCGCACAGAGATGACAGTCGACCCTCGCTCCTGCCTCCCTGCGCTCGCTGCCTGTGGTCGAACACAGGTCCTGACGATCTACCTTCACTCGAACTCCAGGGTCTGTGAACGCCTCAGGCTTCAGATTAAAGGTCACGATTAAGCTTCTGCTGTAATGCCGTCATCGCAACAATGAAGCTGTTGTGTTAACACTCTGTATTTGTGTCACATGAGTGAAGTGTAACAACACAATGGCAGGGTTTTCCTTTTCCGTCAATTCACATGCGATGAATATTGAATAATCACTGAGTGCGAGCGACGCGGGATTAGTTTGGAAGTTTTTTTCTGGGACGCCACCTGAGGAGATGAGCTGGAAACACAATGTACGATTTGAGCCCGTTTCTGACCTGATTTCTGAAACACATCAAGACTCCATCAAGAAGGTTTTCATCTGTGTTATTTAGACGAATCACAGTAAATCTACAAGATGGATTTACCGTGAAACTTAATGGAAGGATGTGGTTTGGGTCAGAGATGAACCCACTGAGTTCCTGGTCTGGATCCAGGGATCTGTCATCACTTTCTTTAACATTTCCGAGTCTTGTGGTTTTAAAGATTTGGTTGATTTCTCTGAGAAAAACCTCTGACATGTTGAAATTACTGGTTTTTTGTAAGTGTGTGTCATTTGGTGCAGCTCCACATAAAAATAAAAATAAAAGTGTTAGCGGGTGTTAATGGATTATTTCGACCAGTGGAAAAGGGGCTTTAGTTCCCAACAGGCCTCCCCTGCAAACCCTCGTTCATTCAGCTGAGTGAACAACAGGTGCCCGGCTGCAGCGAGATAACATCCTGCTTTTATTGCTTTTGCATAAACAGAAGTCAAATGTTTAAAACGGCATACGTGTGTGTGCATGTGGATAAATGGACGGGCTGTAAAAATCTGAATAGTGCACACAGACTCGACTGGTCACATCCTCATTCCAACAGCAACTGATTTAGCTTAGGGATAGAACGTTACTGTGTGTGTGTGTGTGTGTGAGTATGTGTTTACAATGCATGCACGTGTCTTTGCCTGTGTGAGTGAGTGCATGTGATCCCAATGTGAGCCTGGTGGATGTATTCCTTCATCTTAATGCTCTCTATGTAATTACTGCGGGGAGGGGAAAACGGGGCTTTGGCTCCTGCGTCAACCGCCACCGGTCAAAGCATAATCCAGCCCCGCTTGTTCCGTCCAGATTATCATCATCTATTCTCTAATCGTATTCGCCAAACGCTGTGATGACATTCCATCTGGGGTCTGCGAACAACACGGGCGCTGCGATGACAAGGCAGGATAGACCGGTCGAACCACTACAACTGCTGCTGCTCGTCCGCCAAGAACGACTCTTATCCTGTCTCAACAAATCCGTCTGCAAAAAATAAACTCCACTGACAGCACAGAGAACATTTTCCAATCAAGTCACAGAGTTTAATCAAATTAACTCAATACTCAGCATGTACGTCATAAGGTGGTCTGGTTCCTCCGAGCCAACAATGAGAACAGGTCAATGTCGTCTTCTATCGATTTCCCTTTAACACAGGTTTTCCAGTTTTCATCCACGCTTCCTCTTTTGTTAACCGCTCGGTTGATCATTACAAAGAGCTGAGCTGAAATAACACAGCAGGGAGAACGTCATAAAGCCGCGGGCACTTCTCCTACGAAAGTGCACGCTACATCAAAATGGGA